ATATATATAAAAAGAGCACGCTATTCACTGAGCAATTCATTTCATTAGCGGCTATCAGAATGAAACGATTGAACAGTTATCTAATTACTGCCGTATCGATTTGAACTGTTGCTCCGTTAATGCTCGTCAAATTATACTTTAACGGCTGCGTTCAAAGAGCGTGCTATCAACGCTATTGTCTCATTCTATCTTTAGCGTCCATTAGACGTATAACAAGGATAGAATAATAATGCAATAGTATTCCACAGCCAACGAGTGATGATTTGAAGATTTTAATACATTAATAAGTTATGTCATTAAATATAACTTCACGTTAAAATTTTGAATATTTATTGTGCAATACCTGCCATTAACATATGACAGTATTTCGCTGATATAATCATAATTTTTCAAACTCTCTAAACTCACTAAAACTCTGAATCTTTTTGGAGTTTGTCGCGATTTTAAATTCAGAGCCCAGAGATTTTCGATCAACATTTTTGTCATTTTATCTAGTTTCTTTTTAATCCTAGAGTACTATTGATACGTAAATTTTACATACAAGTGAACGACGTGATTGAGCGCTAAGCTTCAGTTGTCATCAGAATGAGGTCCAATCTGTCGTGCTAAAAGCTAGGCTTTTAAAAATTCTGTCCATCATATATCAGTTTGAACGCTCCGATAGTCAGTAATATAACAGAGTCGTTTTAATTTTTTTATGCAGTTTTGTGTTATTGTATATTTTATTTAAGTTTATATATGAGAAAACACACACAAAATTGGATTACATACTTTACATTGAAAAAAATTAAGGAATATTTTCTTGAATAGTAACTAACAGTAAGTAAACATTTCTTTACTGCAAATAAATATTTACATAAAAAAAGAAAGTAATACTTAAATCAATGAATACATGTTTACGTTTAGTAAATATTTATTTGTAATAAGGAAATGTTTACTTAGCACTATTCAAGAAAATAGAAATATTTAGATTTAGAAAATTTCTTTTTCCGTGTATATAATTTCAAGATTAAATTTGGTAGTGTGCTCATTCTTTCTTTCTTTAAGTTAATAATTTGCGTTTACAAAGACCTAGATTACAAATATTTTGTTATTAAAAGCATAAAAAGTTATGTGTTACATTAATTGAGAGTAGCTCATATTTACTTATACGTAAAATTTACGGTATCGATAACAATACTATATCATTCAATAGTATTTTACAGCTAATAACGATCATTATATTAAAGGTTACCACTCAAAATGGCGCCAAAATGAATGTCAATTGAATAATGACTCAGTATTATTTAACGATTCGCGGGAGTTGCAAATTTTCGACTAGCCAACTAAGGTTCAGTTTCACAACTCACGGTTAATTCTTAACCGAGGTTCAACTTGTTTCTCATCTTTTTCCAATCCTAGAATTGGAAAGAGATAATGAAATAAGTTGAACCTCGGTTAAGAGTTAACCGTGAATTGTGAAACTGGGCCTAAGCCAACTTGCAAGAAACAAGTTGAACCTCGGTTAAGAGTTAACCGTGAATTGTGAAACTGGGCCTAAGCCAACTTGCAAGAAAAGTTCAGCGCAACACGTATTCCCGGCAGCACTCATGTAAGAAGCAAAAATGCACTTCTGTCATTGGCACAGAAATCACCGCGATTCGATCGTTTTTCATCCAATTTATCCTCGTTACACCGCGGACGTAACCCCTGCGCACCTTTCGTGCTTTCTTTTTCCGCTCCCCGCTGTCCTTATCTGTTCCTACGAAGCAGTCTGACAATACGTTCGAATAATGTGCCTAGTCGTGCATGAGGAAAGCACTCTGCACGCCTGACTAGTCAACGACCCGATCGAGCAGAAGCGCCAACGAATATTTCAATCGGGACGTGCAATTACACTTTATCATTAAACGTCCGTCACGAAATGTAATCAAACGCGTTACAGCTGCTTCAATTTAAACAACACATTTACGCGTGACGCGTACATTTTTTGTATATTTTTCGGTTTATAATTTTATAACACTTTATCTAGATTTTATTTCACAGATACGTACGCATTGCCGGACCTTGTTTTTAGTTTTTAATATCTCTGCCTTTCGACACACGTTACAATAAAATGTACGTTATTCGAATTTCATGCGGTAAAGCTGCAGGCGACTGAACCAGCGTTTATTTCAACCAAGAATAAAATTCACAAAGCAATTACACGAAAAAAATACACAAAGATTGACTCGAAATGTCCAGCAGCGTGGCCTTGTCATTCATTGAAAGAATGCAGTCGCGTTTCGTGCTGAATATATCTGTGCGCATTTCTCTCTCTTTCTTTTTGTCCCTTATTTTTTTTCTCTCTCCTTACGAGACGGCATTTTCAGAAACGCGACACAAAATTGCATCCTTCAAAGATTCTCTCGTTATGGGTACAATCGAGGATACTCGAGTGAGTACTTACCGTAATGTCGTTCGGAAATACAGCTTACGTAAAATTGTCTTCTGCTCTTTGCGCCAGTCACGTGCGTTCTCTAACGCGACAGGGAAACACACCCGTAACACATCCGCCACCGCCGCGGACCTCCGGCTGACTGACAGCCATCTGACCGGGCTGTTACTACTTCAGGCGGCTGGGCGTGCGCAGCGCGCGACATGTTTATACAGTTTTTTCTCCTCGCGACGATCTTAGAACACGTTCTTAATTATTTTGATCATTAAAGCAATTTATGAATTTTTCTTCAATATATGGCGCAATACGAAGCGCTACCATAATTTTATCATAAAGTGATCGTTTGCTAAAGTATAGCGAGTAGTGTGAGTACTTATATATGTCTATTTCGTTATATCTTTTTATGACTAAAACTTGAAATTTTTTATTGCAATTTATTTAATAAATAAATTTATAATAAAAATAATCTGTTCTTTTTTAGCAAAAAGTTTAAATCCAAAGATGGACGTTATAATGAGTTTTTCATTAATACGTATATCAAAATCTGTCGAAGGTTGATTTGATGTATGATTTATGATCATTTGTGAAAATGTTTATCAATAATTTGAAAATTATCTAAAACCGTCCCTAAGTACAGACTTCCAGGGGACGTCCATATGTCCTTTGAACATCCCAAGGATGTACCCCGATGAAGTGTACTATTAGTATGAAGTGTATTAAAAAATTCTGAAAAAATTCTCAGAACTTATGAAAAGAAAATAAACAATTTTTGTCTCTTGCTGTTTTTCCGTAAAGTTGATAGTATTGGAGTAAAAAATTATTGAAAACCAATATTCGGCGATTTTTAGTAATTAATATCTTGTTAACTATTGCGAAAATTGCAAAATGGTAGAGGACTTTTCGATTCAGTTTAGTCCGTTCTATCTCGTATGAGCGCTTTGTCAAACTTACCGAACATTGTGTACATATAAAAGCAGTTAGAAAGATACTTGTTTAAAAAATAATCAGTAAAATAGATGACTTCCCTTAATAAATATAAAGAGTTAAAACGAAGAGCTGTACTTTTTTTGCTAATGCAAAAAGCTACCACTGCTTTTTCTTTAATTACAGAAATTTAACATGGAATTTTACATGGAAAGTAGTAATTAAATACTTATTTTGAGTGTAATTAAAAACACGGCTGTTCAATGCTTTTAATATTAAAAAACCTAATTTTTAGTATTAAATTGACCTGTATTAAATCGAATTTCTGTAAATATCAGTTTTTATCTGTCGTACTCTCGAAGCACTCAATCACTTTTTTAATAATTTTCCCAACATTTTCCAAAGCGTTTGACAACTTCATCAATAACTCCAAACGTACAAAGTTATTGCCAATTGCATCATATTATGAAACGAATCGTAAATTTGTTTTTAAAATGCATACCAACAATTAATTCACCGCGATACGTAGAAAAGACTAAATTAAACTAATTAACTTGACCTTGTCCACTAATGAATTGCTTTATTTGTTTGAGCATGACGAAACTCTTATTTCAATTTTTAGCAATTGAAGTGGCGCCGTTTGTTCATCATAATCCAACCGATTCTATGAATATGTGTTTTCCAGGAAGCTCCGAGAAACGCTTAATAAATGCGCGTGCACGTTTTGAAAAAAAGCATGATTCATTCATCGTTGATAATATCGCTTTACTTTCCGATAAATATTTATATCATGTGTCAATGAATTCATAAAAAACACCGTTTTCTCGTTTGTCCAGATTTAATTTTTAGTTTTATCTCATTTTTAATTTTTTATATTATTGCAAGAGGAAAATTAAATTCCAACTTTTGTCGTTAATATTACAATATTTTTTTAATTATCTAGATTTGTTAAATACAGTGTGTTTGTGAACTGGTGGTATAACCGGGAAGAGGATGATTTTATATGAGAAAAAATAAGTCGCAAATGTAGAATAAAATTTTTTCGCATATGGTTTTGTTTTCTAGTAAATTGACTATAATTATTCGCCGGGTACGGATTTAATTAATAAATTAAAACATTAGAACACGTTATAAAGCATTTATAGAAATTTATTTCAAAGAGCAGAATTGAGTATTTGATAGAACGGGCAACAATTATATTTACAAAGTAATAAAATTTATTGTGCGTAAATATTCTGTTTTTATTGTTCTGGATTAGCTAATATAATAAACACAAACCTGAGCAGAGATAATAATCTACAGTGAGATTTATTAAAATCGAATTAATATCTAATTAATATTTAAAATCGATTTTATCGAAAACAAATCTCATACGAAAAAAAATTTATTATTATTTTATTTTATTATCTCATATTTATTCTGCGTTTCCGACTTATTTTTATGTAGAATTATCGCTTACTCATCAATTTACGAACACCATGTATAATATCCGTATAAAAAAATCATTCATTTCCATAAATCCTCTTTGCATTTTAATTTAAAAATTATTTCAAGAATATTTTATAAATTTAATTAATAAAATTGATATGTATGCTGTAAAAACGTTTTTAATCGATTTTTAGTAACAGTCATGTATTTTATCATTAAAGTATTAACGTTGCATAGACGTCCAACGTAAAATTAATCGCGATTTCGAAACACCTCGAAGTCGTCGACTGTCTCACGTGAACCAATGTTAACGCTCAGTCATCTCGCTGTCCAACCAACAAGACTACGAAATTAAAACTCTCCTCGAAGTCATCCCTTTCGAAAGTTTCATAGATCCATTCGCAAATCCAACTGTCACCGATCGCGCTATATTACGTGAAAAGGAGTTGGGATAATGCTGAGCGAAGCAATCGCGATAAATTCTTCAGGTTGTTTCGCATCTCTTGATACACAAAATTGAGGTCTTTGTATTTTTGTATTTGTCATTGCATATTTGTAAATTATAACGTAAAATAGAAAAATTGTGATATTTTTAATAGCAATATTGTTGTGAACTCGAAAATTTTCTTGTTCATGTATTGGTAGCATCTTTGTGATTATGAAACAAGAATTGTAGAAAAAACCGAAATAACTGACGTTGTATTATTTTTTTTTTGCTTTTATTGTCTTCCAGAATGAAAAATAATTATAATAAAATAATCATAACTGATTAATATATTGAGAAAAATGCACTGTATTAAAATTAAATACAGTTTTGATTTAAAATAACCTCATTCTAAAATGATTCAAAATTACAAATGATTATATTAAAATATTATACATAAATAAAAAAATATTATTATATTGCTATATTAAAATACTATTATATTAAAATATTATAGGTTATATTAAAATAATGATGACTGTCAATGCATAATTTGTCAATGCACTCTTCGCATTGCATTTACAGATATATTTTCTTTATGCACATCTTCTTAAGCCAGTAGCACACAATGATTTTTTTTCTACTTCATTTCTAATTGGATTTACGTTTTGCTACTGTATTGACTGCAGTGCTGGCAGTGTTAATATTGGAGCTGGTATGATAGCGAATCGTTAATCCAGTTAAAAATCCAACAAGAATAAAAGCATCATGTACCGCAGGCTTTATACTTCTTGCATTTGGAAAAAATATATATATCTTTGTAACATGGAAGGAAAAAAAACAAAAATTGTAAAATAAAGCTAAAAGTGTAAATCGTATAACATACTTACTGTATTATTACAGTAATTGTTTTAGTGAAGAAGAGCACACATTTATTTATGTTCTCGTATCCTTCTAGAAAAAGCGGAAGATCTATCGTCAAATACTTCAAAAAAATCAACATTAAATACCGGAAATAAAATTAAGAGTAGAATTCCAACAACCCATTTCGGGCGAAATGGCATGCAAGTACGTTAATTATTTGGTACACTATGGGTGCTTTCCGTTTGATGATACAAGTTGACACAAGCATCATTTTATCCTTCTTGACATTCAGAGAGTGACAAAGATAGAACGATACTTGTGTCGATTTGTGTCATCAAATGGAAAGCACTCAAAATTGCCAAATAGCTTTGTATATAATATTAGAAGATTACAGATATATCCAGAGCCTTTCAGAGCTAATCTCTCTAAATGCATCTAAACATTAATATTCACAATAATTAATCTTAATTCTAAATAATTATTTGTAATAATTTACAAAACGAAATTTTTTGATATATTTGTTCATTGCCTGTCAAAAATATACTCATAATCTCTTCACAGGGCGACTTGGCGAGTCATCCAACAAACGAGGAGACTTCCAGCGGGATTAGCTCCAACAACAATTCCGCTCGTCGACCGAGCATGAAGACCCTGAGTACGCTGCCGTCTAAAAAGCCGACGAACGCGGTTTCCGCGGAAAAACGTCACTTAGAGATACAATATAGTTCAAAAAGGACACGATATACGAATCTGAAAAAGACGCTCCTCGATAAGCAAGTAACTGTCGGACGATAATAATTATTTTTAAAAACGACTTTCTATGTATAGTAGTTACGCAATTGTAAATAGTACAGGAATTTTTAGAATTCTTTTCTTTTTCGAATATATGAGATTAGAGATTTGGACGGTATATATAAAAGGAGTACATGGAAAGGATGATTTTGTTGAATCAGTATCTACAAATTTAGCTAGATACTGATCTGAAAATAATTCTGTTGGATCGTCAAAATAATTATGTAGAACGCTCAAACGTGACAATGTTGCAAAAAGTTTTATTATTCTAACAACTAGTTTAAATATCCTATATAATTACTTAATGGTTCAAATAAAAAAAAAAATTATTTTTAGATCTGTATCTAAGCAGAGCAATAAGTCATTATGATATCAAAATGATGTCAAAATGACTCCAAAATGATTAAAAGTCATTTTATTATCCAAAATTATTAAAAGTCATTTTTCAATCATTTCCGATTCATTTTAATGTCATTTTGACGTTATTGTGACTTGTTCTGCTTGGATAGTTTTTAGATACTTCAGTAAAATCATTCTTTCCATTAAATGATATTCTTCTCCGTTGCATGTCTTCAGAAAATGGTGCAAGATCTGTACGACGAGATGTCGAGTTTGCGGGAGAAGATAATCGCGGTCGGCGGCAAGGACCCTGGCAAGATCGAGGAGTTGAGATCGCCTCAAGTGGAATGTCCCAAGCAAAACCCGCCAACGCCGATCGACACAAGTTCACCGCACGACTGCACCGAGCAGCGGGAGCCAATCTGCATGGACGAGTCGGTAATAATCGGTATGTCGCTGTTGCAAAATCAGCTGCGGGATCTCTGCGACCGCTCCCAAGAGATCTGTCAGCGTATCCTGGAAAAGAGCTTGTCGTTCGCGTCCCTCATCAAGTTTTGGCTGACAAAATCGAGCCAACAGAGCGAAATGGGCAACGTGTTGATCCCGGGGAATTATTTGGAGGCGGAGGTATGGCACACGAACTTCTTACGAGACAATGATGAGATAAGAATGCAGCTGGAAGATCTGAGAATGGACCAGAAGGACTTCGTCACCGAATTTGCGATGAGATCCTCGAGTCTGCGTAGCGAATATGACAATTATTGTGAGCGTGTGAAGGAGGAGCGGCCGAATGTCGATCGCAGGGACCTGTTACAGGAGCAGCTGAGTGTCGCTTTAGAGGATCTCAAAGCGGAGCGTGACAAGGCGAATCAAGGGAAAGATAAGACGAGAATGATGGAGCTTCAAATGCAAAAGGCGCGGGCAAAGATTCGCGAGTTGGAGGGGCACGTGGCTAACGAGGAGGTGAAGACGCAACAGCTGCAGAATAGCTTGAAATCATTGGAGGTTCAGTTGAAGCAGAAGGATCAGGCAATAGAGTTGAGGGTGAAAGATATGCACAAGGCGATGAAGAGCAGTGAGGGCCTCGTGGCGAAGATGGAGAAGCAGCGCGACAGCTTCGAATCACGGTTGTCTTTTTAATCTCGCCGAATTCTTGATCTCTTTTAATCTCGACCTTTAAGAAATATAAAAGCTTAAGATAGGGTGGGACAATTTCAAATATTATATAATTTTGAATAAAATAACATTTAAATCCAATTTCCGAGGTTCAAGTTTGTTTTTTTTTTTATTTGCTGGTATCCTTTAATATCATATAATGAGATCAGTATACCAAACTTGACCCTCAAAATTAGATTCAAATTAGATTCATCTTCTATTTTATTTAGAATTGTACCATGTTCAAAATTGTACTATCTTATAATAGATAAATAAGGAAAATTTTATTCTTAATAAAATTAAATTCCTATTAAAAAGCATGAAAAAATGTCTTATATCTTTAACTAGATAATGAGGTTTGATAAAGGTAAGATAAATTTCTTTTACTTTGTATTTTCTTAAAGTTGCCTGCTTTAGGTTGCTGGAGCTCAAAGAAAAGATGGCTCACAAGGAAGCGGAAGCAAATGCTACTATTAAGGAGTTATCAACAAAATTTGAAACAATTGACGTAGAGATCATCGAAGAGAGAGAAAAGAGGTAAAGTATAGTTTTACCTTAAGAATCTAATAATTTTATCAATCATATTTTTTCAAAGAAAAATGATTATATAATTATTATATTAATATATACATTTCAGGTTATTCATATATATTCTCTTTCTTAAATAAAATTTGGAAAGTGATCGTTTTTTTTCTAAAATATTCGCTATTAAATAATTCTTGTATTAAATTCATTGTAGGCAACAAGCTGAAAATGCTCTATCTGAAATGGAAAAACGTTGTAAACACCTTGAAGAGAAGAGCCAGCTGCTCTGCGAGCTCGCGTCTGAGAAGAGCAATAATATAGCTGTTACAGGTAGGTAAGCTCAACAATTTCGAAGTATCGAGAAAATTTCTCATTTACATTTTAAACGAAACATTAACACAGAGCATTATATATTACTCGTCGAAAGCTTTCATTTCGATTATCGGTCTTTAGATAATAGCCACACGGAGAACGAGGTTTGCCTGTATAATGATTTGATGGCAACCCGAGCCGAGCTAGAAAAACAGAAGGAGAAGATCGAGCAACTCGAGAGGGAAAAGCAAGAGATTGTCGCTGTGATGCATCAGGCGGCTGTTAGTTTGCACTACTTTCGGGATTTCTGCTCATATAAGAACTAAAAACTGTTTAATCCGCTTTCTCTTGCTCGTTAGATTGTGATTTTCTCCTATAAGTTCTCCAAAATTAGTTTTAATTAATAGTTTTTTTCTTTCATCAACAGAGCCACGATAACGAAGACGAGACGAAGGATAGATTGGCCGCCGAACTTGTAACCAAGACTCGTGATCTTCAAAATCTGATGTTAGAGCACGCCCGGCTCCAGAAGATTGCCAGATATGCGTACGCTTCAACATCACGTTAGAATATTATTCTGTCAATGTCTGCTATACTTGAACGTGTATCTATAAAATGTCTTTAAATATAAGACAAAATTAATGAGAATTAATATTTCCATTTCAAATATAAAAAAAAAACGATTTTTCTAAAACCTCTAAAAAATTTAACTAGATATAAATCTGAAAATAATTTTGTTGGACTATCGAAATATTTATGTAGAAAATTCAACCATGATGAATGCAAAAAATTTTAATATTCTAGTAATCAGCTTGAGCATTCTACATAATTACTTTAATAGTTTAAAGCTTGGTTCCACTAATTAATGTAAGATTAATTTTAATCTCAATTCAATTTTTTATTTTTTTCTAATTCTATAAAGAACCTTAATTAAATTTTGATTTTTACTCTCGGATTTCAGTTTTGAATTCACATTTTTAATTTTTAATACGTAGGCAAGAAAGAAATGAAATGTTAGAAAATCAGTTAGCCGAGATTCAGCATCGTCTTCAAGCGAGATTGAAAGAAAATGGCAAGACCCAGGGTCTTGATACAATGGAGCTTCAGCAACAGATTAGCGATCTACGGAACAGCTTAGCTGAGGTCATTCAGCAAAACCAGGAGCTAGAGACCACCCTGACACAAAAGCAACTGGAATTGGAGCAACGTGATCGGGTGATGCGCGAGCAAAGCAAATTCCTCAAAGTTCGGGACGAGCTGTTGAGCATCCTCAAAGGAAAACAGGCAAACGCGGAAAATCCTAACGAAAATTACGAAAATATTGATGAAGTAATGTTCGACATTCTTTATAGTTTTCTTTCTAATTTTCTCTCATATAATAGATAAATTAAATACAATAAAAATTCTTTCTAATTTTTAATTGAGACTATAAAGTCTAAAGTATAATATAACCGATGTCTTACTGTTTGACGCATTGCTTTCGCTATCGCATATTCTCAGTAAGCAAATTGTCCGTAAAATGCCAATAAATTAGCAGCAAATTCAGAAAAATACAGCAGATTCGCTACTATCCATATTAAGCATTAGCAGTTTTGTCAGTAGAGTATGTATAACTTATCGAACGCTATTCTATTCGAGTTCTGCTGCCAATGTATTCAGTTTTTGCCACCAATCAGCTGTCAAAGCATGTAAACAAACTATTATATTTTTATGGAATTCTGTCACCACATCATCTAGAATAAATTCTGCATCTAATTTCCTGCTGATAAAATTTGTCACTTTACAAAATCTGTCAAACCAAACTTAGTTGATTGAATCTTTCGGGGTTTGGTCTAATAATAATTATGTGTAATTATCCAGATCAACAAGCAAATTGCGGCAAAGACAGAAGCAATTCAGGAATTGTACGCCACGCTGGAGACCAAACAAATGCAGGTGATGCGACTGGAAAAGCTGGTGAAGTTGCTAGAAGATCAGCAAGACCGCGCACAAGCGCAACGCACACGACTTGAGCATCGCATCGCGCAATTAGAAGTGAGCTTGCGGGAGAAGACTAAAAATGACAGCAATCGGTACGTTATGAAGAAATATTTACGTAAACCTCGATCAGGCGTCGTCGATGATAGAATGTCACGTGCTTTTTCTTGCGAGTCGAGACGAGCGTTACTGAAAGCATCCGCGTCAACGTTCCATTTTGTCGATCCGCGTTCACAAGGATCCCCGCGATATCGATATTCTTCGCGTCACGTTTTATCCACGAAAAGTTTGGATCCTTCGTCGAGAAAGTTTCATCTGAACGACTGGTATCGCACTTCTTCCGTTAAGGAAGAGGTTTTCATCTGCGAACAATGTCGACGGGAATGCAAGAAATTCAGGGATGACGTAATCCATCGAATTGAAAATCATCGCATTCGGAAATCTCTTTATGGTTGGCTGATGAATTCCTCAGCTTTGGAAGCCTTTGGCGAACCAACGGGTCGCTTAAACAAATTTCACGAGCTCAGTTCAGAGGAGAATACGGATTGTTTCTTCGTTAATCCTATTGTTGTCCGTAATAATGCGAAGGATTGTAACAGGGAGTCATGTCGTCGTCCCGAACAACATTATTGTCGATATCGTGGCCGTCTGCCAAGGCAGTCTCTCCACGACGACTACTCTCTTCGACGATATAATCCGATTATTCGCATGACGTAATGCTATTATTTCTCACATACGGTATATGCATTACAATGCATCTTATCTACATATATTATAATTAATCATTTTGGGCGACAGTTGTATCAATCTAATTTAAAAGTATCCCTGAAAGATCAAATAATAATAATATCATTTTGAAGTGCTATATTAATATGTTTCATCGAATCTTTCAAAATTTTATAATTGCTTTTATATTGACAATTGATATTTTATTAATTCTATAAATTATAATAAAACATTAGTATTTACAAATATCCATTTTAGTGAATTAGTTGTTGTCATTACAGATATAAGTGGACATTAGTGACACACTCGAGACCGACCATTTTTATATGAATTTTCATTTGTATACATTTTTCATTGCAATATCATTTTTAAAGTTTTCTTATAGTTCTTTTTTCGTCTCAAATGTGTTAATTATGGCCTGTTTTAGTAGGCTAGGTACTCCCTGCTATTTTGTATAATATGACGACAGAATTTCTTACAGAGTGCCTAGCCTTGCAAACAGAATATCAATTTTTCTACATTTCAAATATCAATTTTTCTACATTTCTGACAACTTATCCTTTTATGTTTTAGGAGTAGAACTTTCGGCATCCTGTAAGAAACTCTGTAACCGTCGGAACAGCCTCTAAATATCAACCTGTGACCACTATTGGATTTTACAAGAAATTATTTACATGTACATGTCTAATATCTAATTTGCTTGTATACATTCCTAAAATATGTAAATTTAAAATTTTACACGATACATATATTACATATTTTAAAACAAATAACGTGTTTATACAAATACGTTTTTGTAGACCCCGTTTATTTTGTATAACAATATTTATGTTCTATTGAATGAAAATATATACATGAAAAATATATTAATTTATTTCTGCTATTAATCGCTATCATTATCGCTGCTATCCGAATAGGCACCTACGAGAGACCGTAATGGGAGAACATTGCCAACATTATCAGATTTCGTGTCTATATTTACTGTATTCGATGTACTTGTTGAAGTGTTAGGTGTTTTGTCCGACTGTAGAACTGTTTCCTTATCAGAAAAAACAGTATTTTCGATCTTGGATGTTTTACTTTGTGACGACTTGGCATTTATCTTTATTCCAATATTACTTTTCTTAACTAAAGTAGATGAATTCTTTTTACCAGATGATAATCCCGTATTTTCTGACCACAATGATGCTTTAGCAGGTTTTGAAGAATGCCCAAAATTTTCCTGCAAATAATCAATAGTTATTTTGAGCTTTAATGTCCCCAATTAAATTTTTCTTGTAACAAACAATAAAATTTACTAAATAGAAAAAGCAGACAATATAAGAACAAACGATAAATAAAATGTATGAAGATTAAAATCTTACTGTTTCTTTGTCATTTGCTTCGTTTGTTTTAAGTATTTTAGTAGGAGGTTGTACACTTTCCCCTTCTTCTTTTTCTTCCAATTCTTCAATTTCTTCTTCTACAACAGTTCCAGTTAATTGCCTTTTGCCAAATACAGATTTAATGTATTGTTCATCCAATTCCTCTTGTTCCTTTTCTGTTCTCTGCTTAGCAGCTTCGGTGTCGTACTGTTCCAACATTTGATCATAATCTATAGTTTGCTGTCTACGATTTAAATCTTTTAATTCCTCCAAAGATTCCAACAGCTCCAATTCTTGCTTAGATTGAAGTGTTCTCTTTTCCAGGAGCTTCATCGGGTTGGTGGCCTCTTCCTCTTTCTCCTCGTCCTCTTCCCTTTGTGCCTGTTCCTCGGCTAGTTTCAATGCCATAAAATTTCTCGTGGCACCTGCCTCGATTTCGTAATCCGTGTTCTTCGGATCTGTCTTGAAGGATATCTCTTGCAGGCAGCGGGTGCACTTAATGTAAAATCTGTAAATGCGTATGCCCAGGTAATCGTCGCCCTCGACGTCCTCCTTACGGGCATTAAATTTCTTGCCCTTGTAGATGTATTCACCGCATGTTTTGCATCGCATATTAAACGGCGCCATCAATCGCACGGTATACTGGCGATTTCTCGCCAGTTTCATGCGCGGGATCTTCGACGGATCGAAATCCGGCGGATAATATTTCTAAAATATAAAAAAATAAGAAAGATGAAGGTACAGATCAACACTACAGGGTATCAAAGCATATACAGGTAAACACGGGTGAAAAGCAATTATTCGTCTCGTACTTACATTCAAAACCTTACGCTCCGACATCTTGCAGCACTAGCTTTTTACGTGTACGATTAGATCTTGAAATTTACAGTTTTAAAGTAATTTGCGGACAGCAAAACCACAGCTCTTGAAGGTTAGGTCGAAAAATACACAAACTGAATCAGAAACATCCGAGAGTGAAGTACGCAGCGTCACTACATCGCTTGGCTGCATTCAGTACTGCCAACCATACGCCAGTCAATCACGGTTCGCCGCGAATCGAGCTGAGATATCGATTCACGTAGCTTGCGATTCTCGAGCAGCTATCCATGGTGGAAGCAGGTTTCTCTCTGGTGCAAGGTGGAAATAGATTTCTCTCTGGTGGACCGTGGAAGTATTAAAGGTGTACTTGTTTTCGAGACGAATTTCGTACCATTCTGCGCATATCCAGATACGGCCATTTTAAACATTTGCATCGCGGTAACTTTGAAGCAACACGCAAAATGAGTACGTATATCAAATGAAAACATGCACAGTTTTATAAAAAAAGGATGCAATTTGCATTTCTTTCGATTAATTATTTGTATTTATATTTTATTTATGTGTCGTCGTATTTACGTGTCGTATTTATATTTATATGTGTCGCATTTATGTGTTTATATTTTATTTGGGTAATTATTTAGAATAGCATACCCCACCTAAAATCTTAACGAAAATACACTCATCTGACGCGTTTTCAACTCAAAATGAAAGAATTTGGCAAAAAAATGCGGCGGTCTGCCTCATGAATCCAGATATTAAGTGTTAAAATTCGAGATTTTAGAAGTTAAGATATATGTCATTCCGACTATGTATTGTTTAATAATGTTAGCGAAAACGAATCTGGGTACATATCATGGAACATGTCGGAATGAATTCCGATCAGAATTATTCCGTTTTTCCTAAACATGATAGAAATTTAGAAAATAATTAAATAATTCTGATCGAAATCCATTATTTCGACTTGTTCCATAGATCGCTAGCGATCATGTAACTTTTTCCTAACCGAAAACGTGAAAAGTAAAAATTTTTTGTATGTATGTGTGTATAAGTACATATGTACATATACATACATAAAATTTATCATTTTTCACGTTTTCGTTCTAGTATAGAGAAAAGTTACTTCGCTACTCTGAATCTAGACTCATGGAACAAATTGGAATAGATTTCGATCGGAATTAATATATTATTTTTAGAAAACACAATAGAAATCTAGGGAATAATTGAATAATTCGAATGGGAATCCATTCCAAATAATTCCATAATTGATTCGTCAAGCGCAATAATAGCTAATTGCGATAGCTGAATATTATATTCGCAATTTTTATATTTTTTTCCTAAAAGAATCGGAATTTCACACTGCTGCGTGTCTGATATATTATATTATTACGATTTTACTTCGTTCTGCTTCTCTTCTTCTTCGCGAAAAAGAAGGGATGATATTAAAAAAGTATTCACATCTCGTTTAAATTCGCAAAATAAAAAGATATGCATAAAAATAAATGGGAAGTCTTTAATTATCGTTTTTGTTCGGAAATACGCACGGATAAAAAATAAAAAATTAATATCGTTTAGGGCTTTTCGATATCTCGTCTCTTCTACAAAGTTGCCATTGCTTTAACGATTAATCGCTAATTCGCTAATCACGGTAATGAATTGCGAGGTTGATACGCGGAGTCCAAGAAATATGTACGTTTAATTCCCGACATTTCTCAACACAACTCTATAGATATTCATATTCCCTTCCCCACTTGCTATTCTCTTAAAAATAGATTTAATATTATTATTAAATTTAATTATATATAATTAAAGAATTAACAGAAAAAAATTCATTTGATTACTTATTATAATAATCAATATAATTATTAATTATTATAATTATATTGTTAATTATAGTAATTAACGTAATTATAGATTGAAGAATTTACTTTGTGGACATTTGACTGAATGATGAAAGAAGCGGTTACCTCTTTCTCTTTCTTCTCTCTGCCGCATAAAAGCGTCTCCGGTACGTTTCGAGGAATAAGATTCAGTTCGGCATCGTATACGCAGATCTCTATGGACGAGGGTTATTCATTGAGACGCGAAGTCTCGAATAGATCGACTCGGGTCGGTCGATCGCACCTAGAACCGGCAAACGCGAGCTTTGTGCCTTGGCAAGGCATTGTGCTGGGAAATGCCGTGACCGGCTTTCGCGGAATTAGAAGAATACGTTTGCACGAATGCGCAGTCTCTTCATACGTGTTACTCTACGATTTGCGTGCGAGTTAACTCGACCTCATTGTTCCGAACCGAGTTCTGAGGCTCTGAAGCTTGCTATTAATTGACCACATATATTTTTTTACAATTCGATTTTGGAATCCGATAAGTTTTCTAATTCTTGAGAAAAAAAAAGAAAATATCCATATTTTATGTATATTTAAAAGTTACTGAATACGTGATTTTCCCACTAATACGTTCTTCGAACTTAAAAAGTTTTGCTAAATATTAAGAGTTTAATTAAAGAAAAAATTTAAAAAAAATTTATCAGGTGATTAAAGTTTACTTTAATACAGCAAGAAAATCTAATAACACTCTTGTCGGAAAAATTTCTTGTCTTTTTTCCTCTGCGTTTTATCGATAAATATGCTTCACGTTTTTTCTCTTCTGAAGTTCGTCTCGAATATCATTCGTCTCATTCATTCGATGGCGCAACATCCCAAGGCGGGACAAGGCCTATTTCTCGTAAGATTTCCGTAACAATAGATTTTTTTTCCGGAATTAGGTCGTTAGCCTAATGTCCAATTCCCAACCTAGGGGATCCATACATATATTCACTAATACATAGAACCTACAGTTTAATGCTGGATCTGAACGGCGCTGGTGATCGATGATCTCTTAATCACCAGATGGAGCCATTTTCAGCTCTTCAAACGCGAAAAATTGCGTATATGAGTGCAGATGATATTGAAACTGGATCTACAGATCGCGAATCAATCGCACCGAACAGCAAGTCACTCGATGCCTCTATTTCAGGTAATAGAAAACAAAAGAAACAGGACAAGAAGTAAAAAGGTAAGAAATAAAAAGAAAAATAAAATAGAAGGTATATAAAGAGCACATTGTAGAGAGATTAGGGCTTAAAATATTCCATAAACACTGAAAAGTTTTTTCACCACAAAACAAGGTGGTTTCACTCTCGTCTCTTCTCATAGAATAACTTTCTCATTTTTTAGATTTGTTCCTCCCCTCTCTTTCCAGCGCGATTTCACGGCGATAAATTCAACTCGTTTAAAAGCATACCGCTTAAAAGCATTCGTAATCCATAGTCGGCAAGCATGAACAGTATATTCCTCATCCGGTCGAACCTACCGCGTCAGGGATTCTTGGTCATTGGATACCTCTGGTTATCCCTCCGAGGTCCCACGGACGGTGGTGCTGGTGCATCGCATCCACCCCCGACAACGCAGTCCGCCGAACTTGCGTCG